TGTGAAAATATAATAGGAAGTAGAATAAATTATCAACATAGATAACATACATTCATACAGAAGATGATACGAATAAGGACTATTTAGTGTCTGTTACATCTATTGATAACAGAGTTTCACAAAATTTCAGTCCAGTTTTTTGTTCAAAGAATATTGACTTTTTTAATGTCTAATTAAATAAGCATTTCTGACTATGATCCTTCTTGTTTTAAACAAAGGAATTGAGATATGAAGAAAGTCGACTCGATATTCAATGTTGAAGAATACACGATTGGTACGAAAAATTGAAAGTAGACATAAATAATTTTATGAGTAGTACATTTTATTATGCTCTATATCTATATCGCACAGCAAAAGTTTCCTGTATATTTGCTGAGATGCAATTTACATTAGTGTGAGCGTATGATAAGAAATGTTATCTAATAGTAAAACTACTTATTAATCTAGAGATGACATTTATAAAATGAAACGAACTCAATGATATAAAATGCAATCTATCTGGATTCACTATTGCTTGAAATATCACATTAAAAAAGATCTTTCTATAGACCGTAGGGAGTCACTCAAATTCTATGTGGTAAAAATAATTTTTAATCCAAAATCTATGTTCGAAATAAAAGTAGGATGACTTTTTACAATGAAATGGATTCAACCGTGTAAAATAATACTATCCATTTGTGACTCACTTTCATTTGAAATACTACACGGAAAATGCCGTTCGATAAACTAAATAAAAATCGACATTTTAGAAGAAAAAAAGATCGCTTTTGCATCGAGACTATGTGGATCCAAATGAGCTATGAATACCCCGAAAAGCATTCGCGTCCTTAGCTTATTGATGCAGAGATACTACACTTTTAAGGTATTTTTTTTAAATGAAGGACATGGCAACAGAAAAACTGGTTTTCAAATTTCCACTCGAAACTTTGCATAAACACAGACTTTAACAAGAATAGGTTTTTATGAATCTTTTATATCGTTCATATAAAATGGCAGATTTGATATTCTTATTTCAAAATAGAAGCAAATCGAAAGACGTGAAACTATTCTCCATAACACTGCCAACCCTACAAAATGAACTATTTGTTACCTTTCTTTCGATTCTTAGAAACTTTACTATGAATGTGAAACGGTCAGAGACCAGTAACATAAAAAATTATTCAAAAAGATCAACAGGAAAAAAGTTATTAGTCAAATATATCTAAAGTCTTCATCGTATCTGAAAAATTGGAATTCACTCAAAAATAGAAAAAATTATTCTATAAAACTTAAATCTGTCATTTTTTAGACCTTCAATAACATCTCAAATAATTTCAAGTCAACATTCTACAACTGGTACAAGTGATTCAATTGCTTCATCCTATCGTCCATCTGAACAAAAGAAACAACAACAACAATCTCAATTAAAATCACCAATATTTACTCAATCATCATCATCATCATCAGCAAAATATTCATATGAATCTCAACAACAACAATCTGATCAACAGAATCTTCATATATCTGATGAACTTGTTCATCATCCAACTATAATGAAATTACAACAACAAAATTTTCATCGTTTATTATCCAATGCTGCATCTACAACTCCTGCATCAACAATAATTAAACAACAACAACAACAACAACATCAAACATCACAAATTTATTTAGGTGGAAATAATGATCGAGCAACTTGTTTTAGTACAACAACAACAACAACAACAACAGCAAAACCAAATGATCAAATACAATCAATAAAACAAACGTCAGATTCACAACGAGCTGTTTTACATCAACGTAAACAAGCATTAATGAAAGCTATTCAAAGTATAAATAAACAAATGGAAGAACTTGATATGCAATAATCAAAAAAAATGTTCAGATAGATTTTGTTATTTTTTTTTTGTTTTTGTTTTTGTTATTTTTTTTTTGTGAACATATGTGTTTTGATTAGTGTATCCTGTAGTTTTTTTTTCTTTTTCCTTTTTTTTTGTGTGTGTAAGTCTTTCATCAGATACTAAGATAGTAAAAATTGAACAAATATGAAGTTTGTATATAAATAAAAGTATACCATTGTATTTTGCTCTTTTTTTTTTGTTTTAGATGGCTCTTTTATTTCGCTCTACACTTATTCAATTATTAACAAAAACAACACGACCGATGTTGATGACTATGGCATCAACTGGACGTCGTAATATGTCATCACACAGTAAAGAAACTGATGAAGAATTTGATCAACGATGGAAAGCTTATTTTGAACGACCAAATATCGATGGTAAACAATATGATTAGTTTTAGATTTGATAGAAAATTAAAAAAAACATGGAAGCCTTTTTATAGCCAGTTTAAACAAACTATCTACTGTAGCTTAAAAACTGACTTTTAGTATAATCAGGCTTTCTTTTTCATTTATTGATCTCAAAGTAATTTAAAAAATCGTCCGTTGAATTTTGATGTTTACTTACAGGTATTAGAATAAGTTACACAAAACAAATCGGAAATTTATAAACAATTCTTATTTTATAATAAACAATTATTATGTCCTGTTAATAATGTGCAAGTTTCTGTTTACCCATGTCGTACATTTGTTCGCACTACCATCAGTTGATTGCCACTACCGAAGTTTTTTGTTCAGTTTGGATCACATGAATAGTGTGTTTCTTTATTTTAATATAATGTCGAAATCATTGATTGCCCATCACATTGATTTTCATGGTAAAATTTTACTTAAACATTTTGAAGAAAAAAAGCAGCGTGCACCTCAATTTAATCAAAGTACTCATTAAAAAAAAACTTGAGTCCGATCAGACGTACCGTATGGGAGAAAACTTCGACATTTTTTGTTCAAAAATTAGTTTTCGAGAAAAAAAAACATTCCCCTCTGTTTATCAGAAGTGTTTTTCTCCAACTAAAGTGATCGAAAACTGACAGTATCATAGGTTCGTGACCTATGCTCTAAGCACTTTTGAAATAAGAAATAATCATTATCATTAGGGGAATTTTGCGTACAAAAAATAACCGCAGCGTGAGTTTTTCTGCTGGAGATTTCACGTGTTGGATTTAATAAAAGTACTAACTACGAATATTGCTCATTTTCTAGCATTTGACAGAGGACACTTCGAACCTGCATCAGCAAAGAAAATCAAAAATCAAAAAAAATTTTAATTTTCATGCGTGGGATGGGAAATCTTTAAACGATCCGTTATCTTCTAACTACCAGTACACTATCGATTCGCATGAGTACCGTGGCAGTACGAATGAAACGCACGACATGAAATTTTTTTTCTTTTGAGCAAAAAAACATAAGCATAACACTCATATATTCATATTAAAAATCTTTGTATTAGAAAGTATCTGTTCATATTTTTTTGTAATCCTTAGGTTGGGATATACGTCAAGGTATAAATCATATGAATCGTCTTGATTTAATTCCTGAACCCGAAATAATATCCGCTTGTCTTCAAGCATGTCGTCGTGTAAATGATCATTCATTAGCTGTTCGTTATTTGGAAGCAATTCGTTATAAATCGAATGCCGTTTCAAAAGAAGTATGGCCATGGATTCTTCAAGAAATTCGTCCAACATTAAATCAATTGGGTGTATCAGCACCAGAAGATTTAGGTTATGATAAACCTGAACTAGCTTTAAAATCAGTTGATGATATGTAGACAAAAGACTAATTCATTTCTTTTGTTTGCTTCCATTTAGTTTACGATTATTGGTTGTACCTTTCTGTTTTCTTTGTTCTCCTTATATCAAAAAAAGAAAACATGAAATACCAATTGTATCCTGTCCTAATTCTTGAATGAATAAAACTTAGATTAAAAAAAAAGACTAAATCATAAAATTTCTTATTCTAGATATGTCTTTATCATTTGCATTTGGAATGATATCACAATTGTTATTACCATTTCAAAATATTTTTATGTATATTTTAACTGGTAAATCTTTATTAGAACGTATTATTGCAAATCGTAAATTACTATTTCCATTACGTGTTTATCAAATTAAAAATTCAATTAATTTTACATCAACAAAAAATCTTAATCATGAAATTGAACAAACAAAAATTGATAAAAAAAAATCTTTAATACATGATCAATTATATATTGTTATACATAAATTAGAATTATATCAAAAATTAATTAAACAAATAGATAATATAAGAAACATACGAGTAACATCAACTGAAATAGAACATCTTGAATTATTTGAAAAAATATGGTCACGTCTTGTTATTCAATCAAATAATGATCAACAACAAATGAATATGATTACAAAATCTTGGACAAAAATTGGTTTTCAAGTATAAAGAAAATAAATAGAAGTTTAATATGGAAATATATGTTTTTGCTTTTCTAGGGTCCAAATCCATTAACCGATTTTCGAGGTAAATACATTACTAATCAAAAATAGTCATACCAGGTAAAAGTAACCAAAAATTCGAACATTGGAACTGAAAAATTGTATTATAAATAAAGTTCAAAAGGCTCTGATGTTAAACATCAATCCGCACTTAATAGAATGACAAATAACGGAGTGGTGAATCAAACATTACTTTGACCTTAGGACACCTGAATCTCTAGCGTAAAGTTTTTGCGCAAAATTATCTTTGTCTTGTCGAATCCGATCCTTCGGGTTTGATCTGATCTGAACAGAACAATTCTTTCATCAATAGAAATATTGTTCTTCTTATGAATATTTTCTTATTTCTTTCTTTAGCTTCTCATTGTGTCGATTATAAAACATTCAAATACAGACAAAATCTTTTATTTTATATTTATCAATTGATGTTCTATTATTTGTATTGATCAAAGGTATTCTCAAGTTCTTTCTTGAATGTATTGTTTTACAGATATGATAGTTAATAGTATATTGCAAAAATTTTCAGAAATAAAAAACTATTGTTTGTTTTTTTGTATTGAACTCAAACTGTTTGGTTCGAATAGTGAATCAATATTTGAGTTCGATGCATGTCTATGTGTTAGATTATTCTTAAGTGAAAGATAAAATCTTTGTTTCAACGTAAAGATTTTCATTTGAAATCATCGAATATGACTAATTTAACTGTTTATCTTCTGACACTAGTCCAGTAGCGTTAATGTTGAATCAATCATGTGAATAGTTTCTGCAGATGTTGATTATGACACTGATATGATTAAATTTGAGCATAGTCGTCTGTGTAACGAAATAAAAATTTTTTTCATTTTTCTTGAAAAAAAAAA